GAAGAGTGGCTCTACCCTAAGAAAACTGGGGGAAATTGTCACAGGGACATATAATAGAACCTGAAACAGTTTAACATATTAACCCTTTAAAATATGACAATATACACAACCACAGAGGATCAGTGAAGACAGGAGTAGCTCAATAAAGAAAAAAATCCCCAAAAGGATCTAGCTCAGTGATAACCAATTCATCGGAACACAGGGGAAAAAAAAAATAGAACTCCAACTTCCATTTTTACTGATCTTTAAAACTTTTTTTACATGTTTTATAATGTATAATATATCAGCATACATATGATTCATACACAAATATTCAATTTGGGGGATAAAAGCTTATTTTTTTTTTGACAGGTTGTATGTATAGTCAAAAAAGTTGTGATGACTTTTCTAGGATATAAGGACATAGCACACCTGTATATCATCAATTACAGTCAGTAATGAAAATAGTTGAAGACACACATTAATCTTATATATAAAACCTCAGGTTTTGAGTCTTTAAAACAACTGAATTTATGACATTCAGTGTTTCTTACAATACAGTTAAGAATGGGCACAGAGTTCTACTTTAAATCCCTTTTTAGTTTAACTGGATTATCAATGACTATAAACTGGAACAAAGTTTGTTGACTGAAATTAGACCTATGTAACCACTGTGAGTATGTCCTGCAGGTACTACATTTTTTAAAAAGTTATGTCTTAAATGTGTTGTCATATTTACTTCCAATGTCTTTCTAAAATTTCTTTGATAATCAATAAGCCTCTTTAGTTCCTGGCTTTACTTTACAGTATTGTTGGTTTCAAAGTGAGAAGCACAGCTTAAAAAATGGGGCCAATTTAACATTTGGAAATGACCATATGCTACTGGGGAGTACAAATATGAGGTCAACATTCTGCCAGCTTTCATCACTATCAAAAGCTGTGGCTTGTTTTTTTCAGAGACTTGAACCAGAGGCCATCTATATGAGCTGCTAGTCTAGATGACTCAGAATTCCATTTGTCCTACTATCTGCGCTTCAGAGCTGAAGTCATAAATGTCTCCATCTGTGACATAATTATTTCCCAAACCAATTAAGAGATATCAAACAGAAAATTATGACTTCAGGTAATGAATAAAATGACAGGAATGGATAATTCTTAAGGATGAAAATTTAATTCATCCAAAGCAAATAAGTAAATTAAATCATTTGCCCTTTTATTCACTTGGGGAAAAGAGAAATTATTACACTGTGAAGGATGTATACATTAGAATTTGGCCTAGTTCTCTGTAGAAATGGGAAACTACAGGTTTTATTATGTTGCTGCTGAAGGGTGGGGGTGGCAAAGGGGTCAATGATCCACTAGTTGAATGGTTCAGAACAGGAAAAGGGCAAGAACTTCTGCTCTTAAGATAAGATAGAGGATGATGACATACTTTTAACAGTACTGTCAACTCTGGGAAAATATTAAGTGCAAAAGGAATAGTCAGCAAGTTGTCTCCATGTCCTAAGACATACATAGATTCACTTTTCCTTATTAACCAGTAAGCACAGCTTTAACAGAAAACTGAAGACTATATCTCATTTGCTATAATTTAATAGATGGTACAAAAAGAAAATTTGGAATAAATTCAGTTTACTTTTAAATAATGGATGTATGTAAAGATAAAGTTGTGCAATTATGGACCATACCATAGTGCTTTTAAGGGTATAACAGGAGGACAAAAGTTTGTATTAATTAAACATACAAAACATCACTTTTTCTTCCCTTAGGAAAACTGATATGTAAATGTTCTTTTTTATTATTCTAAACTGTCACCATAAGCACACTGAACAACTTGTCCTGAGGAAGGGGCATCTTGCCATGCTGTGGAGGGTTTTTCATACTCTGGCCAGAACAGATACCTTCCCAGCCCTTTTCACTACTGTCCTTTCCAGATCCTCGATGAAAAAACAAAAACAAAACCCCAAACACACCTTGCCTCACACTGTTTCTCAGTCTTTCTTCCATTTTCATTTGTTTAAAGTCCTATCCATTCTGCAAAGCCCTGAAGGGTTGATGTTCTCATATGTATGACAATGTCACACTACTATAGTTAGTGCCAGTAACTACAACACATTAGTGCCATTCCACTATTAGACTGATAGCTTTTTAAGGGCAGCAAGTATTGTCTGAATCAACCTTACATTCCCAACTGCCATAAACTCAATGCCTGGCAAAATATAAGCTTAAAACATAGCACTTCCTTGATGTTCCTTTAATTGAACAGCCAACTCATTCTCGACTTATAAATTCTATCCTATGTAAGGTGAAGCAATTCTCTCCTAGATTAGTGTCTTAAGTATTGAAACAAAACAAAACAAAACAAAATCCAACCAATCAAGGCATGCAAAACTTATTTACCAAACTATAGGAATAAACTCTCAATTGGATGGTACCAGCTTTGAACAGCGCCTCTAAGTACCATCATCAGGCAGTCTGAAATAAGCTATTTCTTCTATCGAGATTTCAGATGGGTTTTTCTTATTAAAATCCTAGAGGTAAGAAGCCCACACTGTTACCTGAAACCACCATTTCGACAGACCTCTTATTTGTGTGTACTTTAGACCACTTGGGAAAGATGAGATCATTTAAACAGCAGCGCAATCATTTCTCTTTATTTGACCCCAACAATGCTCTAACAATAAAGAGACATGCATCACCCAGGCTAAACCATACTGTAATAAGGCAGCTGCAGGTAATATTTAGTCCTTCAATACAGGGGAAAAAGCCACACTAAAGAGCAGAGGCCCTTCCCTAAAAACGTCAGATGCAGAGGTGCTCTGGGCATCCCCTTCCCCCACCTTCACAAATCTACTCCTGGAATCTGAGACATAGGTCCTTTGTCTGAACAACGTGGGAGGAGTCTGTCTGCAGTACTGGTGTGCTGGCAAGTGAAGAGAATTTCAGAAAACTGTATAAACGCACAAAGTTCCTTAACTCAATTACCTTACTGTCCAATTTTTCTTTATCGCGTACACTAAAGTGATCTAAAAGATAGAACAATGTGCCTCTTGGAGGGGTGGATTTTATCAAAAGGAATACGGTAAGATCAGCAGAGTTAGGCTGCTCTTCAAAAGCTAAGTTTATGAATAGCGGAGAGGCAGAAGCGGGTGGTGGCGTTACCCACCACTTGAATACCCCTTTCCCTCTCCAATGAGCTCTTTCTACAAGCCTCCATTTCTGTCAGTTTCTTCATCTGAACAAGCTGTTTGTTGTAGGGGGAGCTGGGAGCTTTTACCAGATACTCGGCTGCGCAAACTTGCAATCTCGAAGCTTTCAGTGTACAACACTGAACCCCCAAACGAACGACCTTTTATCGCCTCACTTGAGGTTTTTGGTGTCACGCCAGCCATGAGTTCCACGAATACTGCCCGAGTAAAGTGAACACCGCCGGACAGGATGGCTCGAGAAACTTAACACCTTTTATCATGCAAAACTAGCGGATCACCGTGGGTTTTCGCAAGGTGACCCATCTCCTCATCTCAGCCACCCTCGGCTGCTCCTGGACCCCTTCGTGGTGGACCGGGGAGACTGGCCGGGTTCCCTTATTCTGCCCCAAGCCCGTCTTTCGTCTCCCCACCCACGCCCAGGACATCCTCCCCGCACTCACCCTGGCGACCGACAATCTCGGCGACATGCTCGGAGCTGGGCACAGGGACGCACTCGGTGGTGTTGACGCTCTTCCTCCGGAGCAGGGCCGCCTGCTCCCCGTTCAGGGCGGCCGCCGCCGCCCCGCAGCCGCCAGGGCTGTAGGCGTGGGACAGCATCGCCGCCATCATGCCCTGGGCATCGTCCCCTCCGTAGAGCACCCCTGCCGCTGCGGCCGCCTCCCGGGCATCGAAGCCGGCGGGGGGCAGCAGCACCGATCCCAGGGGCCCGCCCGGGATCGGCTGGGTTTGGGAGGCGGCGGCCGCAGGCGGCGACAGCAGCAGCAACGACGGCCGGTCCTCCTCCTCTGCCTCCTCCAGCTCCTCCTCCTCCAGCAGATCCCCGTCCAGCTCCGCTTCCTCCCCCTCCTCCTCGTCTTCTTCCAGCTCCAGCTCGGTCGCCTCCGGGGCCCCGGGCCCGCCGGGCGGAGCCCGCTCCTCTGGAGACAGCCCTGCCGCCCGCCGGGCCTGGCCCTGCGCTGCCACCGCCGCGGCCCTGGCCGCCGGGGTGCCGGGCTCCGCCGGGCTGGGGTCGTCGAGGCCTAGCGCGGCCAGGCGCTCCCTCAGCAGGAGCCCGTCCCCCTCGAGCTCCGGGCCGCCCACGGGCGGCGGCGGCGGCTGCGGCGGCTGCGGCAGGGGGGCCGGGGCCGCCGCCAGGGCCAGGGCCGCGGAGCTGCCGCTCGGCATCGCGGCGGCGCGCTGTCAATGGCGGCGGCGGCGGCGGCGGCCGGGTCAGGCGCGGCGGGCGGCTGGCCCCATGGCGGACAGGGCCCGGGCCCTGCTCAGCGCGCAAACACCTTTCCTCTAGGGAGGCGGCGGGGCTGGCGACCGGAGCTAAGGAGCGCCGGGGCCGCCCAGAGACCGGAGAGGGCGGGGTGGAGGGGCAGGGGAAGGAGGCCGAGGTAGGTAACTAGGTGGGTGGGTGGGGACGGCGGCGGGGTGGGCTGGTGGAGGTGGCAGCGGCTCCCCTCTCACGGTTTCTTTTGTTTCATGGCCTTAACCAGCCCCCAGCGCGCGCCGCGGCGGCGGCGACGCCCCACGCCGCTCCCCGAATGAAGCCGGCGCTCTCTGATTGGCCGCCTCTAATCTCTGGGAGCCCACCCTCTTGTCCCTGCCGTCTTCCAACTCCTTTCCCTAGCCCCACACCCGACCCTCTCTCAGGCCCCGCCCCAGTCCTCCCCAGAGCTATCTGATTGGGTAGCTGGGACTAGCCAGCCCCCGAAGCCTGCTCCTTCCGTCTTTTCCCCACCCCCCCCTTGCCTCCCTCCCCTCCCGCCCCTTTCCCTACAGACTCACGAGGAGAGGGGGACTGTGATTGTTCGCCTTACACGTCACTCTGTGACGTACACAGGTGGGGGCGTTGAAAAGGCGGGACGAAGATGCTCCAGCACAGGCTAAAGGGGGGTGGGGTAGAGAACAGGGATTTTCGCGCAGGCGCATAGAACTTAGGCGCACACCTGGGTCTGTTCTTTTTGCCGCACGCTTGCTGCCTGCCAGGGTCGGGTCTCCAAGTGTACTGTGTGAGGAGCCTTGGAGTGGAGCGTAGGCGTGCGCACGGAGAGCGTTGTTTCCCCAGGTTGAGGAAGAAATTTCCCTCTTTCAGGGTAAGGGCCTAAGGAGAGTCATCCAAGGAGGGGCTAGTGAAGTGTCCTGTTCAGCTGCGGGGGTGGTTTCCTGGGCCGCGTGGCTCCTGGGCCTTTGCTGTACTGCCCGGAATGCTCCTCCCTCGGGGCAGGGCCCTCCCACGACCAGCTGGCCGGGCTTCTAATGTAAGTCCTCTTGGTTATGTTTGGAGCCTTGAAATGCTGAACTTTAGTTCTTCGGGGCTTTTCAAGGAAATGAAGTCACTGTTTCCTCCAAGATGCTCTTCCCCCGGTATGGCCCAGGTGATTCTACCCAGTAGCTATCTTCCTAGGGGTCTGTTTTTAAGTGGCTTGTTAAAAACAAAAGCCTGTTACTTTACTCCATCTTAAGCTATGATCTCCTCAATCCCATAGTCTCCCCAGTTTAGTTACAGCATTGAGCTATAGCTTGTAGTGTTGTCTTGTAGAGATGTAGGGCAAGCAACATAGTGTAATTTTAAGGTTTCTAGACTCCATTAGAAAAAGTAAAGTTTTAATAAATAGATTAAGTTCAGTATAACCAAAATACTATCATAGCAACATGGCAGTCAATATAAAATGATACATTTCACAATTTTTTATGCTGTTTTTAAAAATGGTGTTTTACATTTAAATATACTCACAGAATATCTTAGTTTGCTCACACTAGCCTATTTTGAGTACTGAGTAACTATGAGCAACTCCAGACACCAATTTTTAAATTGTAACTTGGGTCTCTTTCTGCTTTGGATTTATTCAGTATGTCTTCTGCCTCAAAACTGTCATCTTCTGAGTGAACTTTAATTGAACACCTACTTTTCTATATTGTCTAGGATGTTACTCCAGTAGTCCAAGAAAAGGTTGCATCTTTATAGTTTGTGCCCTCTTGGCCATGTGCACAGTCCTACTTCAATTTACCCTTCCCAACCAAAGGCCTAGAGAATTTTAGCTAACTGAACATCTTTCCTGTGACTCCAAGGTTTTCCTTGTCTTCGACAACCCTGCATGTTGATTCACCTCATAGCAGTAAGTTCTGGAGCAGTGATTTCAACCCTGGATCTATATCAAAGACAAGAAAGCCTTTTAAGAAAGGTAAATGCAGAGCAGTGAGAGGCAAACTCTAGATATTTGGACTTAGTAGATCTGGTGTGGGGACCTGGACATGTTTTTTAAAAGCCATACTGGTTGTTCTGAAGCACAGCCAGGGTTGAGAGCACTGATCTATGGTTTGAATTTCAGGTATACAGAAGGGATCTTGCTATTAACTCTACTGAAAATGATCTTTCTCCTCTACCTTCCCAATTAGGCATAATTTTGACTGATTTACTACATCTACACCCTTTTTGTGATACCCCCGAAGGACATATTATTTCATGGCATCTTAATAAAGGTAATGAATCTTTTTAAAGGTACAGTGAATAACTTGTACACCTAAATACTTTTGGAATATACAAATACAGTCTGCTCACTGTCTGATATATCAGTTTAAACAATGGCCATTATTTGAAGGGTAGATCTTTTAGCAAGGCACATCTCATCAAGGGAGAAAGTCAAATAAAACATGCAGTGGCCACTCACAGAGTACATTGGTCATTGGGAAGAAATGTGTAATAGAATTACAAATGAAACTCTGTAGAGGTTCCTTCTCCACCTCTTTTCCTAAGTTGTCATTTAATCCTCACCTCTTGATCTTAATTCTCTTTCAAGGATGTACAGCAAAAGTTGTAGCAGGAGTGATAGTCATACATTTTTCTTTTGAGATGGGAAGATGGGAAGAATAGATTCATGTAGATAAGATCCAGCTAAATGTTCTTTAAAAAGCTAAATGGTTTAGTCATACATTTTTCTTTTGAGATGGGAAGATGGGAAGAATAGATTCATGTAGATAAGATCCAGCTAAATGTTCTTTAAAAAGCTAAATGGTCTAATTTAGGTGTTGATAATATAAAAATTGCTTTCTACTTCATTCTCACAAAATAAATTAGGTTTCATAAGTTCCCATATACAAATGTATACATGCATGCATTAATTTATATCTGATCAATATTGTGATTTATGAACAAGGCAGGAGATACTGAAGCTCATGAAAACCCTATTTGGGCCTAAATTTGTCTTGCATTAAATCTTGTTTATGAAACAAATTTAAGATTTGCCTTTAAATATGTGACTGAGATTCTTTCATTTAAATCCACTTAACAGCATAATCCCTTTACCCTCCATTCAGCCACACAACACACTGATTTTCACCAACTAAAGTTTCTCTTTAGTTCCTATGCTGCTGTTTATGTCATAGGTTGATACATCCGGGCAGAAGAGTTGCTTTAAGAAACTTAAGACAAAAAGAAAACTATAGAATTGACTTCATCAACTAGTAGGCTGACTGCTGAATTAGCCTTTTAAGTCTATCTAATTGTAATGATAATCAGGTTGGAGGAATTCTAAATTAAAGAAAGATTAACAAAAATATCTGTCCTAGCAAGAACATTGAGATAATGAAACAAGTTTTGAAGCAATGCCATAAAGACTGCCACAAAAGCTTGGTAAAAATTCTGCCGAGACCCTCACCTGGAACTCACAGCTAAATGTCTGCTTTGTTTTAAGGCACAATGAGTTTCTTTACAGTAGGATGTCCCTTGGGAGCAGCAGCACCCAGCGTCCTATATCACAACAATGAACATGCCCAGATTCCCCTTACCTTCTATCCCTACCCTCCTGTCTCTACCTACTTTTAAGCCTCAGCATAAATTTGACTTCTTCCCATTTACTTTCCTAATCAGTACAGTCAGGGCTAGTTCCTTCTCTCTCCCCAGGAAAATGCACTTGGAAGGCAACATTTTGAATACATCTTCTGTGTGCTTGAACAACCTCCTAACGTCTCTCCATAGATTCCATAGACTTGTGACACAGATGGGGTAGATATTCACTAAACCTGTTGCCTCTTCTTCCTGAATACACAGCTAGACTATACTTCCTGATCTCCACTGCACTTGGGAGTAGCCATAAGACTGAGTTGTACACCACTTTCAGACCTACCCCTCAAAAGATCTCTCACGTTATGTTTCCCATTCCTTCCCCATCTGTGTAGGTAGGTACAATGACCATAGAAGCCACATGTTAAAGATATCAGAGCCACAAGATGAAAGGAGTCTGAATACCACATGGAGCAGAGGTGTCCTCCAATCAGATGTATCTGTTTTAGACTTTGTGAGAGAAAAGAATATTTTCCTTGAGTTTGAAGTATTATGTATTTCTGTGTACATTTGTTATAGCAGTTAACCTATCTTAACTAATACAAAATGCAAGGTTAAAACCTCTGGTTTGTAAAGAGACAGTAAAATGATCAGTGGTTGCCAGGGATTAAGGGGAAAGAAGGGATAAATTGGAGGAGCACAGAGAATTTTTAGGGCAGTGAAACTATCTGTATGTAGCTAAAACAGTGGATACATGTCATTAAACTTTTATATCAAGACCCATAAAATACACAGGACCAAGAGTGAACTCTAATGTACACTATAGGACATTGGGTGATAATGATGTGCCTGTATTGATGCATTAGTTGTAACAAATGTCCTGCTCTGGTGCGGGATGATGGTGGGGGGATGCTATGTGTGTGTGGAGTCAGGGCATATATGAGAACTCTCTCTGTTTGCTGCTCAGTTTTGCTGTAAACTTAAAACTGATTTAAAAACAGTCTATTTAAAAAAATGGAAAACCCTATTTTGCGTGTTGAAAATATTTAGTTTGAATACACATATTTTCTGATCATAAATTGTCTAGGATGATCCCACTTTATAGCACAGAGCCTGATAATATTTCCATGATGAACAATTCACTAATATGACACAGCATCTTATATGTGTTTGCACCAAACAGAGCTTCAAAGTATATGGAAAATAAACAAATAAAAAAATCTGATAGAGCCGAAAGGAGAAATAGAAAAATCCAAAATTATGGTTGGGGCCTTCAATACCCCTTCCTTAGCAATTGATAGAACTGTTAGACAGAAAATCAGCAAAAATCTAGGAGAAATGACTAACACCATCAACGAATGAGATCTAATCGATACTTATAGATGACCCAACAACAGCAGAATATACACTTTTTTCAAGGGCCCATGCAACATTAGCATACACAGACTATATCCTAGGCTGTAAAACAAATCTCAACCAATTTAAAAGACTTGGAATTCATATGGATATGCTCTCTGACTATAATAGAATCAAACTAGAAATCAGTAACAGAAAAAGGACAAGAAAACCTCAAAATGCATGGAAATTATACCACATACGTCTAAATAATTAATGGGTCAATGAGGAAGTCCCAAGGCTTGTGGGTGGGGGAACAATAGAATGGAATAAAAATGAAAATGAAAAATACAGCACATATAAATTTATGGGACACAGCTAAAGTAGAGCTGAGAGAGTAATTTAAAGCAGTAAGTACTTTTATCAAAGATAGCAAATCAGTAATCTGTCTATTGCAAAAAAAAAAGGCAAAATAAATCCATACAAGCAGAAGGAATGAGTTAGTAAAAACAGCAAAATCAATGACATTGAAAACAGGAAAAAGTAGAGAAAATCAATGCAAGAAACTGATTCTTCAAAAAAATAAAATAAAATTGATAAACCTTTTTACAAGACTGACAGAGAGAGAAAACACAAATCACCAATAGCAGCAATGAAATGAGCTGTCACTACAGATCCTGCAGCCATTAAGAGGATAGAAGAATACTACAAACAACTTTATGTTCACAAATTGGAAGAATTGTGAAGGAACAATTTCTCAAAAGCCACAAATTAACAAAAATACAGTCAAGATGAAATAGACAATTTTGATAGTCTATAATGATAAAAGAAATTGAACTAGTAACAGTTCCTGATAAAGAAATCTCCAGGCACTAGGTGGTTCCACTGCAGAATTTAACTAAATATTTAAAGAGGAATTAAGACCAGAAAATAGAAGAGGAGGGAATACTTCACAATTTTTTGATTCCAGCACAGATACTGAAACCAAAGACAATACAAACAAAATGAAACTACATATCAAAATCTCTTATAAACATACACAAAAATCTCAAAATATTATCAAATCTAGCAATGTGTAAAATGAACATAGATTACCACCAAGTGGGATTTATTTCAGATATTTTCTAAGACTGGTTCAGTATTTTAAAGTCTATCTGTGAAAATCATATGTTCACACAAAAACTTGTACAGGAATGTTTATTGCAGCATTATTCATAATGGTCACAGCCCAACTATTATCAACTAATGAATGGCTAAACAAAATGTGTGTGTGTTTTTATCTCCACACAGTGGAATATTATTCAGCCATAAAAGAGAGTGAAGTACTGATAACATGGTATAACACAGGTGAAGTTTGAAAACATAATGCTAAGTGAAAGAAGTCAGTCACCAGAGGCCACATGTTGTATGATTCCGTTTATATGAAATGTGTAAGATAGGCAAATACAGAAAATCAGAAAGTACATTAGTAGGTTCCAGGAACTAGGGAGTGGGAAAAAAGGGGGTGAGTGATGAAGGGCACAGAGTTTCTTTTTGGGTTGATTAAATGTACTGGAATTGGGGATGGTTCAAAACCTTGTAAATATACTTAATAATTAAAGACTGAATGCTTTCCCCCTAAGACTAAGAACAAGGCAAAGATGTTCACTTTTAGCACTCTTATTTGACATAGTACTGGACATTTTAACCAGAACAATAAAGCAAGAAAAATACATAAATAGATGAGAAAGGAAGTAATACTTAGATGAGATTATCAAATATAAGCAGAAAGTCAGTTGATAAACCAAAAAGACAACTCAAGTAATTTCATGTTTCCAAATAAAAGGAGAAATATCAGCAGAATTGATCCCCAAGTTTATATGGAACAGGTTTAAAAGGCTCCATGTTAAGAAGTAGTTATCACAAAAAAGTACAGTCAAGAAAAGTGACATATAGTTATCAAAAAGTTGAGAAAGGTAGAAAAAATTTAATTAGCTAAGTATAGAGTTTAGTCCATTGAAACATAGGGATAAGCTATGGAAAATACCACATAAAATATATAAAACAGTAAAAATTGACCAAAAAAAACCCCCTAGAAAAGTAAAGAAGGAAATAAGGTACAAGTTGTAGAAAACAGGGAATGCAAAAATACTGAAATGAATCTGGAATAAGTAAGTGAATGTTAGTTAATAAAGAAGCTAAAGAAAATGCCTTTATAATGTTAAAAAGGAAATACATTGCAAATAAACATGGGTTTAATACGTTTTAAGGTTACATTTAAGGTTACATAAAGAAGTTTGATGAACACATAGGTAATTACAATCTTTAATTTTTATCCTTATTTTGGGTGATACATGATGTGGGATTCTTCACTCTCCTTTATTCT